TTATGTTTCTCTTCATGATGCTTGAGTTAGTTTTTTGCGAATATTCGTCCAATGAAGCAGTCAAAACTGTGTTTGGTTGCTCTTCGTGACTAAGGAAGTTCATAGCCAAGATCGATAATCGAAAACGCTATATTTCACAACGGGAACCTGTGACCTTGAGCGGTGTATGAGTTGACGCTCGACACTCAGATCGAGTAAAATACGGCTGTTCTACTTAGGTGAAGAACTCTGTGACTCCGGATTAATGATCAACCTTTTATGTTAATCGCTGAAGAAACAAATGTCGCTCTTTTTCTGCATTTCATTACATTCTGATCAACTGTCGTGTTTTTGTCTATTACGATGCATAGAGAAGACGAAACGTTAAATTAACATTCAGCCAGAGCCAATGGTGTGTTTCAAAGCCACACACGTTCACGGCAAATCGGTTTTGGAAAACCGAACAACTTTGAGAATGATAAACGCGTATGATCTGCTGAAACAATTGTATCTTGTTCTGCTACAAACCGCTTTAGACACGACTGAGGCTAATTAGAGGAAACGTACATTAATACTTATCAAAGCGCTTATGCTCACTATTCATGTGGTAATTGAATGCCGCGAACATATCTTATGTTCATTGCGCTAGGACATGGTCATTGTCCAATCAGCTGAGGTCATTGTACGCGTAATATGCGTGCAAAATGGCAAACATATCATGGCCTTGGTACTCCTTAATTTCTTAGAAAAGTTCTTCCTATGGATATTCAGGATCTTCCATCATCTACGCCTTATGTACCGTGAGTTCAATTGTGAGTGGGGATTTGTTTCGTTGCCATCGTTTGTTATTAAGTGAGATACCAAGAGCCGTCAGTAACATGTGAAAAATTAGTCTTCACACCGTGATCAATTCCATAAGGAGCACGAGAAAAAACATGCTCCTCCATTATGGAGTTATTTATACTAATATGCAATCCATCGTCGTTTCTCTTTTGTTCTTCTCATCCCATTGCCTCACAGAAAGCGCTGGTTGCGGTAGAGGCACTACAGACCTTTCAGTGCAATGTCAGTTCTGACAAGATCTTCCGTGTAATTTGCGCTTTCCTTAATTGCCCCTGCCGTCATGCACGTTCAGGACTGGCTTCGCAAGGCGACCACCGACTATTTGTTCCCAACGGCCTCACCACCTTATGAACCTTGTCTACAGCCAGTCGATCATTGTCGTTGGATATTTCAATCTCCCTTTCTTACAACAGCATTTGACATCAG